GCACCGGGCCGCGGCCCCCCCCGCCGTGCCGCCGGTTGAACACCGCAGTACCGGGGGGGGTGGTCCTCCGGGTACCGAGGCTCGGGACCCCCGCACCGGCGCTGCGGGAGCCCCGCACCGCGGCCTCACGGAGCCCATACCGGGGGGCTCAAGTCCGTCCCCCCCCGGTGCCGGGGCTTGGGACCCCAAAACCCGGGGCTCGCATCCCCCTGATCCCGGGGACTCAGGACCCCAGTACCGGGGGCTCGCATCCCCCCGATGCCAAGGCTTGGGACCCCAAAACCGGGGGCTCGCATCCCCCCGATGGCAGAACTTGTGACCCCAAAACAGGGGGCTCACATCCCCCCAGATGCTGGGGCTCAGGACCCCCATACCGGGGGCTTGCATACCCCCAATGCTGGGGCTCGGGGCCCTGATACCAGGGCCTCCCGTCCCCCCGATGCTGCTCAGCAGGTGCTGCCCCTCCCCGGGTCCCTGCCCTGCTGTGGGGTGCCGAGGAGCCAGCTCGGGGTGCAGCGGCGGAGGCCCGGGAGCGGGCACGGGGGCTGCGGGGGGCGAGTCTCCGCTGTCAGCGGTGAGGGAAGAGGGGGGGTGGGAAGGGCGTTTATTTTTGTGTTTTGAACCTGTTGTTGCTGCTGCGTGTGGCTGGGGTGAGTGGGTGGCTGTGAGCTGTGGACCCCTCCCTGCGCACGCACCCCCAGCTCTCTGCTGAGGGACCCGGCTGTGACGGGGGGATCCTCGTGTGCCGGGTCCCGCTGGAGGGATGTGCTCCGGCCCCGGCCTTATCCTTTGTGTGCTGCGGTGGGGCCCTGCCCGGTCCGTCAGTGCCTGCAGGCGGGCTCAGAGCCGGGCATGGGGCTTTGCGGGAGGATGGGGGAAGGAGGGAGCGGGTGGAGGCCGGTAGCTGGGGTCCATCGCACTGGTTTTACCCCTCGGTGATACCGGCAGCTCCCGCCTACAGCGTGCTGGTGCTGGGAGGACGTGAGGCTGGTCGGCTGCTCGATGTGCCAGGTACCAGTGACAGCAGCCACCCCGGCTGGCCCTGTCTCACCCAGCCCTTTCCTTCCCTCCTGTGGCTCTGGTCCCCACCATGGCAAACAAGGGTCCCCCCCAGCATCTCCAAGGTTTAGCACTGGGGGCTTCCCGGGGCCATCCAGCCAAGCCCGGGGTCAGCTCCGCTACCCTCCGCTCCTCATGGGTGCCTTGCCTTGCACCGACTGACTGGCCGTCTGCTAGCGAGATGCTGGGTGCTCAACAGGTCCCGCTCGCTGCTGTCTGCCTCCCACCTGCGGACCCCCATGGAGCTGTGGGGCGCTGGCGAGGGACAAGGTGGTGGTTTCCTGGGGTCGGGGTGGGCTCTGGCTGGCTCAGGGCTGAGAGCAGCGCGGGAGGCCTGGGGACGTTTCGGAGGCTGGGGCGCAGCGTCTGTGGGGTGGGGGAAGCAGAGCGGCTCCCCTTGTCGCTGGGGGGGCCGGAGGCTTTGTGGTGCGAGAGCTTGCCAAGGCAGGTCTGCGGCTTTGGGCAGCTCCTTGGTGCGTTGGTCCCTTCAGAAAAGTGCCTCTTTGGGGAGGACAACATGTGCGTGGTTTGCCAAAAGGCAGTGAGGGAAAGGGCAGAACCGAGAGGCGCGATGTGCCCTGGGGAGCGGGATGAGGAGCTGCAGGGACCAGGCGTGGGGTCTCCCGGGGCAGAGGCATCAAGGGCTGGGGTTGAAGCAGGGGTGTCAGGCAGGATGGCGGCTCCTGCCCCTGGGCTCCGCACGCTGCCTTTCACCCCACTCTGCTCTCCCTCGAGCTCCTCCAGCAGCCGAGGCTTTGGACAGACCTTCCCGGTAAGGGCCGAGGAGCCCGTGGAGGGGTGTGGGGGCTTCCCTCCCACCAGCTCTGTATGCTGGACCTGCCGATGGCTCTTCCTTTTGAGTGAAGCCCTACAAGTGACCTGGGACAGGGGCTCGCCCCACTGGAGCTGTGGGAGCAGCATCCTCCCTGCAGTCCTGTCTGCGGGTGCGGGGTGCAGCCAAAAAGCAAAACAGGGGCACGCATGGCTTCTGCATGGGCAGCCCCTCTGGCCACTCAGCTGGCTACAGCTCTTTGGGAGGAGGCTCCTGAGCTTTTGGGCTGGAATAAATGTGCAAAAGTCAGTGGTTAAAATGCCCAGTCGTGCTCTGCTGGGTGGGCCCAGGTTTACAGGGGGACCTGCAGCTCTGGTGCCCCTGCCCTGGGTCTCACCGGGTCAGTCCTGCTCCTTCAAATCCAGAGCCTGGTCGTGGGGCCGGAGGTTAGGAGAGTCCCAGGGTGGGTGGGGACACAGCAAGGTGCTCCCTTTACGTCGGCCTGGCTCTGCGGCAGATAATGGGTGCTGGGGAGCATGCTGCTGGCCTTGGTTTGGCTCCTGCTCTGCCTTGGCACTGGCAGCGGCTGGAGGAGGGTCCTGGCTGCCGTGAGCCACTGGTGCCCAGGGAGGTTTGGCTGAAAGCTTCCAGCTCTTGTAAAGGCTGTGCTGGTCCCATCGGGGCTGCTCGTCGGTCCTCTGCTCCCACTGCCGTTGATGCTCTTGAGCAGCTGGAGATTTTGCGTGTCCACATCTGGCTGCTCCAGTAGTTTGTCTCAGCAGGTCACTGCTCTCCCCTCTGGGCCTGGGGTCTCCTCGGAGCAGGGGCTCTCCTGGTCCTGCCCTCCCGACCCTGCCCATCCCTGATCCAAAGCCGACAGTCACACCCAGGGGAAAGAGGGAGATTTCTGCCTGAGGAATAACCTGGGAGCCCTTTGGGAAGGGACTTGGGACCCTGCTCTCCGCCTGCCTCTGGGGAGAAGCAAAACCCAGCTGATGCTCCCCAGGCTGGACCGTCGCTGCCTTCCGGCCGGCTGCAGGGAGCCAGAGGGAGTTGGGTCTGTCCCTGTCCCTGTGTGCAGCCAAGGGGACGGCACCGTCACCTTTCCCAGCTCTCCTGAAGGAGGCCATAAAGCTCCACTGCAGATGGCCGCACAATGGCACCCCAGACCTGCTCAGGGCTGGCGGATCTCGGGGTTCAGAGTTTGGCCACCACCGTGGGACGGGGCCTCTCGGCCGGACCCGCATGGCTGGGTAGGAACCGAGCAGGTTTCCTGGGAAGCTGTCAGTGTTGGTGTTCCCACTTCCTGGCCAGAAACAGCCCCTTTCCCCATGCGGGGTTGGTGGTTTGTGCGGTCTGCGCCATGCCGGGGCTCGGCTGGGCTGTGGCGTGGGCTCGTCTCCAGCGGTGGAGGTGACGGCGTCGAGGAAGGGCTGGGAGGAAAGCTGGGGAGGCGACGTGCGCTGGGGCCAGGTTGGGTGGAGGCGCGGAGCTCAGGGCTGGAGGCAGAGGCGTGTGCAGGAGCCCAGTTTCCCGAGTCTGTCTTTACTCCATCCAGAGGCGAGCGATCCCCCGAGGCCCCAGACAGAAGCTGCTCTCGGGGTTGAGGATGAGCCCTGCAGCAGCCTGGGAGGAGACAGAGGAGCCGGGGCGGATCCTGCCCCAGCCAGGTGTTTCCTGGTGGAGCATGGCTGGACATGGGCTGATCCCAGCCCCTTGGCTCGGCGCCGAGGACCGAGCTCCCCACGGGTGCCTGGGGCTCACGGGGTGCCCCTGCCAGGAGTCCGGGTGGGAGCCACGTTCCTGCCGGCTCCTTGGAGCTTCATGTGTGCCTGTGTTCATGGGGTTGGTGTGGGAAAGCCGTGCTGCCTCATGTGAATGGGAACCCGGGGACCAAGTGACGCGGCCAGGGCCACCCTGAGGCAGCGGGGAGCCAGGCGCCGTGTCCCGGACCGGCGCTGGGCCTGCCTGTCCCAGCCAGTCAGTGCTCCCAGGCATGGGGAAAGGCCAGCTCCACTCTCATTCATAAATCGTGGGGGAGTTTCCTGGTGGAAACCTTGCTCCTCTAACTGGAAGGGAGCTGGAAACCCAAGTGTTTGGAGGGCACTTGAACCATTGTTTGAAAGATCTGTAATTTTCCAATCAAACTCCCTCCCCAAGCCTCTGTTCATCAAATATTCATGGGATCCATTTTCTTCTGGCACTCCCAGCCCACGTCTCAGCCCGAAGAATCAATCAGGCAGCTCTGCTTGCTCTAATGCATCCTGCGTTTTTGGGAGCCTGGAGCTGCCATCTCCTCCTCCCACCTCCCCCCATCTCCCCCCCGTCCCTGTCTCCTCCCAGGGCAGCAGCATTGGATGGGGCTGCGCAGGCAGCATGGGGAAGGCATGGCTCACGGAGAGGGAAGGAGCGGGACTGAGCGCTGGGGCGATGCAGCCGGCTGCGGGGTGGAGGCAGCCAGCTCCGTGGGGCAGGGCAGGAGTAGCCCCTGTGTCACCAGGACCTGAGCAGGCAGGTCGGACCCTGTGCCGAGCCGCCCCAGCACTCGGCTCCTCGGCAGCACAGCTTTCTGGCCATCCTCGCCTGAGCCGCTGGCCACCGATTTATTTGCCGTTGCGGTCGATGAGTGCTGGCCCCCGGGCTGCTGTGGCCCCCTCCCCTCCGCTCCCGCTGCCAACGAGGGCGTTCGATAGCGGCCCCGCTGCTAATGGCTTCATGATGGAGGCTTCGCAGAATCCCTGCAGGCGTTGCTCCCCATGGCAGCCTCACTCCGGACCCGGCTGAGGGGCCCAGCTCTTGGCATGGGAATGACGGTGTAAATCAGTGCCGGGCCCTCAGTTGCCACCGGTGCTGCCATTTACACGGGCTCTGAACCCCGCATCCCCCCCATCTCCCCCGGGTTGTGGCCGGCCAGTGTCGGTATGGGGGCCTGGGCGACGGTGTTCCTGTGCAGGGCTCTCTCCCTGCCTTACCCCGGGCTTGGAGCTGAGCGAGTGGAAAGGGAGCGGAGGTCAGGGGAGCGGAGGAGCAGCTTGAAACAGCTCTTCGCACATTTGGATGAGCTAATGGGAAAAAACAGAGGAAGGCAAATAAACATTATTGTTTCATGTCAGGCGGGGAGGAGACAAAAGGTCACGGGCTTCCCTTGTGATGGTAGGAAACGGCAGCATCAGCAGGGCTGGAAAGAGCTGGAGAGCCAAGGGAGAGCGCGGGTACATGCACGGGGCGCGTGCGTGCTCACATGTGTGTGTGGATCCGTCCGCGGGTCCAGGGACTGCTGCCTTCGCAGGTGGGAGTTCCCGAGGCACCATCCCCAGGTGCCGCCCGCGTCCCTGCTCCTTTCAACCTCGTCTCCTGCGCCACGGCCCGTGGCTCTCCCTGCCACGCGGTGCATCCGGAAACAGCTCGAGGAGCAGCCCCGGCACAGGCTGAGCTGGGACACGCGCGCAGTGGACACTGGGCGGCAAAGCATGAGCCTGTTAACCGGAGCTCGTGAGACCGGGTGAAATGAGGTGGGGAGGAAGGGGTCACCCTGGGTTTCCTTTCTGGGCTGGCGGTGCCCGAGGGCCTCAGTGGCCCCGGGCTCGGTGGCCCCGGGCTCGCCTCGCTGCCCCTCCCCGGCACCCAGGACGGACCCGGAGCTCCGGCTGGCGCGGCCGAAACCCGCGGCGAGGCTCTGGCGACGCCGAGGCCTCGGCCCGCCGGGGC